ATATAAATGGTGGACTACCAGTTTTTTAATAGGTAGGTACTTGGAATTTGGTCCTTAAAGACTCCCATTGACTGAAAGTTTAAAATCGCAAAGGGAAATCTTCTTTTGATATCCACTGTTATATAAGAAATATGTTATATGTTCACATGAATAGTAGCTCAGCATTTGTTCACGTAAGTGTATACCACATTTATTTTTATTATATTAATCAATTAACTCTTTTAAATATCAATCCTCTTCTTGATCTAATTCTAACCCTCTGACAACGAAATTCTGAATATATCATGTATATATCTCGTTTATCTCTGCATTTGGTCACACATATTTCTTCAGGACTGTAAATACTGACCATCTCACGTTGTTTTTAGTTTCTTTGACAAGTAGAGATTGTCTATTCGGTTATTTCTTAATATAGACTATGAGCAATTGTCTAGATTGTCTAGCTTATTGAACACTATTATAGAAGTTATCAGTGGTCAATCTACGTTTATGTTCACATCTAGCTTTTTTAGATGTCGAAAGCATATTATTTACATCTATTTTTTTTACAAATATAATACAATTTACAAAAACAATTTTATAACTCACTTTTACAGAGGTAATTAACAATAAAAACGTACTAATAGAAACTAATAATTTACGATTTTCAATACTATAAGGGTACTTGAGGAACAATACGTTTTCACGTAATAATAGTTCCTGTATAAGTGAAATTGTATTTTAATGTGCTTTATTGAAGCACACTAGACATATTGCAGTTTTACCATCACATGCTCCACAGTATGTTTTAACTATTTTAACTTTTCTATCGGTCTTTCTACTAGTCATGTTCCTTCTTAAACTTTTGTAATATCTTGTACACTTTCTTCTCTTTTTATTACCTACGTCGCTTTGCCTAAGATGGTATTTTTTGGGTGTAACTGGTCGTGAGCGTTCCAACATTTATTTATTTGCAAATGTCTTCGCGAACACCAATCTGAACTCAATGATAGGTTGTCGCTTTTTCGCCTTTTCTATTATTTAACAACTAAGCATTGGCTACTGCGGTATTAAATATTAATTTCACTGCCACTTTCCGGTACCACTTCAGAATTTTGGATATTGGGTTCTGGTAAGAAGCAATTTGATTACTAAAATCAACACTCTTTTTCACCAAGTTATAATCGAGAATAGCTTGTGGTTTTAGCACTTGTGTATAATTTTTCTTTTCACCTGATTAAACCAAGATAAAACTATTATGTTGAAATATTGTAATAATTAAAACTGGTTTTTTGTTGACACATTTTTTCACTTGTGAAATCAATAATGGGGGTAAATTTCATTATAAGTAACCGGTTGCCACTTTTTTAATCAAGATTTTGGTTTTACATTTTTTGTAGTAGACCATATGCACATAAATTCGTTTTTTAAACTATGATTATAATTCATCGACCAATATTCTAATAAAAAAGTGTTTTTGCGTCGTCCGGAATGTTATAAACTGGTTCTCTTTCACAAAGCATACGAAATATGGTTTACATTCTACATTTAGAAAAATCTTTTATAATGCAAGTCTTGTTCGTTTACCTAAACTTAATTAATACACAAAACAAATAATCTATTGTTTTTATAGAAATGCATATTCCTGTCGGATTTGTATCAGTGGGGCATGAGTCACTGGTGTCTCGTATATCAGGACCTCTTATTGCATTACAAACATAGTTCTCAATTAGCAGTGTGGTACAAATTAAAGCCGTAATACTGTTCGTAATACCATAAGACCGTATGTTATAAATAAATATATCCCTACAAGAATTATCTTGAAAAATGGGAAAAATACAATAAAAAAAAGCAATATCAAAAGGTATTTAAAAATGGCTAGTCATTCATGGGCGTACAGTTAAAAACAAAAGTTTTCAGTGTTCTATTGCTTGATTATTATTATCTGGTTGGTATATTTTAAAAATACTAGCTAAGTATTCTGCAAATGTTGACATTTTTTTCTGGTCTGATCTGCCTCAACTAACGTCATTTTTTTTAAATGGTGTATTATTTCATATTCTTAAATGTATATTATATATTTCACGTTCTACGATGCATTCCACGTTTGACACACTGTCTTATTTAATTTTCTGTCATTCTATTTGTTAAATCCTATCCAATTTACGTCACAGCGTCAAGGAGCAGTAAATGTGTGCAGTGAACGGGAGGCATATGTCTAACAGTGAATGTTGGAACTTTTTCGCGTTTATCATATGTACAGTAGTTGACTAAAAGTAGACGTATGCAAATCATATGCTATTCGCTAAATTCTGTCACGTAATATGCCATAGACCTCTGTGGGTTATTACGTTTTATTGCTGCCAGTTTACCGTGATATTACATGCCGCCATGTTTACTTTGTCTCCACCATCGTATTATCTCCATTAAATCTTATCATTTAGGCTCCATATGTCATGATTAGACCTATAGGACAGGAGATACATAACTAAGGCTCTTTTGACATAGCATATATAGGAGCAAATATTTATACCTAAGGTCTTTTTGACGTGTTGCTGTATTTGATCTACGTCGTAGCATTCTATTGGTTAAATGATATCATTTGAGGTACTGTATGTCACGATTGGACTAATAGGATAGAAGATACATAACTAGGCCCTTTCACGATTGGACTAACAGGACCGCGGATGCATAACTAAGGCCCTTTTGACAGGCTGATGTATGCTGTATTTTATTTTTCTGTCTCATAGTATTTGATTGGTTAAATCCTATCATTTGAGGTACTGTACGTCACGATTGTGCCACTACAAACGAAGATATGTAAATAGGGCCCTTTTGACATGTTGCTGTATTTGATTTCTAAGTCATTGTATTCTATTAGTTAAGTGCTACCATTTGCTATATCGTACGTGACGATTGGACTAATAGGACCGAAGATACATAACTAAGGCCCTTTTGACATGCTACTCCATTTAATTTTTATACCTTATTGTATTTTATTAGCTAAAACCTTTCATTTGAGGTGCTGCACGTCATGATTAGAATAATAGACCCGAAGATACACAACTAAGGCCCTTTTGGCATGTTGCTGTATCCGATTTTTCTATTTCATTGTTTTCCATTGGTTAAATCCTATCATTTGAGATACTGTACGTCACGATTGGACTTATAGAAACGAAGATATATAACTAAGGCCTTTTTGACATGCTGCTGTATTTGATTTTTCTGTCTTATTGTATTTTATTGGTTAAATCCTATCATTTGAGATACTGTACGTCACGACTGGACCAATTGGAGCGAAGATACATGATGCCAGAATGATTTATGGATGAAAAAAATATATATATTTTTAAATTTACTATTTCGTTGTGGGTAATATTATATTCAACAGCGATGCCAAATTTCTGATGCTAAAATGATTGATAATGAAAGTTGGATATACATTTTTATGTATATAATGACATCGAGTAAACGGTAAAACCCTGAACTAAATATATATAATATTTTCACCGTACCATCATTTTAGACTCAAACATTTTCTGGAATAAACTTATATAACTCAGTAAGGGATAAAAAGAGAAAGCCGATATTTTAAAATACCAACACGGTATCAAATCTCTAATCAGTGAGATGGTTAAAATTCTTGTAACAAGTACAGAAAAAAAGTTACATAGGTGTTGTAAAGTAGCGTCGATATACAGATGCTACTTTGCAAGACGATGCTAAATTGATGGTAAAAGCATAATGTATCGATGCCAAAATGATAGTAGGATGTATATATATATATATATATATATATATATATATATATATATATATATATATATATATATATATATATATATATATATATATATATATATATATATATATATATATATATATATATAAGGATCACTCAGACGAGTGGTGGGTTCTTATATCGGTCTCTAGGTGGAGAAATAAAAGACAAAGTTGATAGGCTACTTTATCTATTTTGAAGACGTTTCGCTTTCGAGTTTTGAAAGCATCATCAGTTCATCTAAAAAATTATTACAATATGAGAACCACACAATCATGGAAACGATGTTGATTGTTACCTTAAAAAGATATGTAGCAGTCAATGTTATTAACAAATATGTGAATGAAACTAAGTAAATGGACATAGTACGCTGATCTTGTATAAACAGTTAAGCAACTAACAACATATATGAACTTGTACAAAAATTAGCACAGCAAGTATTGAACTTTGTATATATCAAACAACAAGGTTTATTGGGGCTGCAGTCAGAAGTTTGGCCGGGATGTTACAGAAACACTCTTTTGACTTTTGGTCTAGCTTTCGGAATTGTTTAATTCCTTTATCAAGACATAGTCGTTGAGATTATTTGTACGAAGCTATGACACTTAACATTAATAACACACATATACACTAAAAGTTATACAATAATTCTATTATTGTATGGAATTATTGTATAACTTTTAGTGTATATGTGTGTTATTAATGTTGAGAGTCACAGCTTCGTACAAATAATCTCAACGACTATGTCTTGATAAAGGAATTAAACAATTCCGAAAGCTAGACCAAAAGTCAAAAGAGTGTTTCTGTAACATCCCGGCCAAACTTCTGACTGCAGCCCCAATAAACTTTGTTGTTTGTTTAAATTGTTTTAAAACAAAGTTTTATTTTGAGGATGCAGTCATTTAAGTAGGGCAGGATAAGTTAAACTCTTTGTTCTTAAATCAAGCTTTCGCAAAATTTATATATATATATATATATATATATATATATATATATATATATATATATATATATATATATATTAATTAATTAATTAATTACACACAAGTTTCAGAAACATAAAACTGACTAAAAACAGTGGTTATTAGCGATATGCAGAGACCTCTTCAAAACATTCGCGTGTTTGCAAAAACACATTTTAACTCTGACTATTATGCGTTATCTAAAGGACAAAATTCAGAAAATCTATTCAAAAATTGTAACACTAACATTTATTTTATTTATTAATTATAACAATTACCTGACTTATGTGACTGGTGGCATCAGGAAGAAATTGTCCAAATTCTGTTAAGAGATCGCTTTGATTTTCAAAAAGTTTAGCTACCTGACTATACACTTCCTGTTCTGTGAGATGTTTTAGACTGCTACCTATGCTTGATGATTCCTTTAATGTGCGTTGTTCTTTTTGATACGTATGTAGTATTTCCAAAAACTTCTTATATTTTTCGGGTTGACCTTGGAAACGACTCTAAAACACAAAAATAACAATTTATTCTTCTTACTGGCAAAGCAAAAATAGAGTATATAAATTAACTTATAATCCAATTTAAAAAATAAAAGAATGAATACTTTGGTAATTATTTCACTATAATTGCCATACCAACAAGTGCGTTTTGATTTGGTTCCAATTGACAAGAACTTGCCATGGCAAACTATCTATATGTTTGGTAACATGTTGATTTTTGTCAGACACATTGTGGCCTAGAAGAAATAGAGCATGTTCCTGAGAGTGATGATGATTCATTTTGAGACCCTGATTATGCGCCATGATATTTCAGATGGTGCAGAATAAGATAAGATAAAAAAAGAAAAGACACCAGGAAAAAATATGACAAGGAAGCGAATGAGTAATAGTAAATCCTAGAAGGAACATAAAAGAAGAGAACTGAAAGAGAAAGAGTATTTATCTAAAAAAGGAGTTATTAAAAAGGAAAAGCAAATGAAACGTCCATGTGATTGTCGGAAAAAATGTTATCAAAAATTCACTGAAGAACAAAGATAAAGATTGAAGGTTTTTATAATTTATCAAAAGATGGACAAGATCAGTATATAGCAAAAACCGCCAAAGACACGATAAAAGGAAGAAGAAGAATTAGAAAGGAAAGTGAAAAGTCTGACGGCATTAGTCTGAGGAAATTTACCAGAAGTTATTTTTTAACTACTGATGAAAACGAGTCTATTGAAATAGTGTCAAGTGATGTATATTCAAACGTTTGATTTAACTTTAAAAAAAGTAAGGACGATTATCGAGAAAATAACTAGTCAATCTAATATCTTCCCAATGGATGGCAGAGGAAAGCATTCCAAACATTGTAAAATCCAGGAAAATAGATGTGATAAGGAAGCATATCCATAGTTAAAAAAAGCTTGTAATAGCCTCTCCCTACTTCCGGGAACGTACTTCCAAAAAATATCCAAGTCCTGATCTTTCAGTGAAACAAATGTATCGACTTTATTGTGAATATTGCAGCAATAATATGTAATATGTTATGTAACAATAAAACACTGAAAACTTTGTTTTCAAACTTCCACCTGTTTCGGCTGATTGCCTTTCTCAAGTGATCTATTTTTGGCTTGCGTTTACACTTTATAGTCTCTAATGAAATAGGTTGAGGAGGGGAGAACTGTTTGTATCAAGCCGGTCATTCAGAATTATATCTGTGTTTTTTAATTTGTTGATTTTCATAGATTCCAACAAAGATAGCTTAAGAGCTTTATTTTGAATGTGAAGAATTTTAAATTTGTCATTAAAAGAATGATACATACGCACTTCACCTTCTAGATCATAATCATTCTTTTAATGACAAATTTAAAATTCTTCACATTTAAAATAAAGGCCTTAAGCTATCTTTGTTAGAATCTATGGAAATCAACAAATTAAAAAACACAGATATAATTCTGAATGACCAACTTGAGACAAACAGTTCTCCTCTCCTCAACCTATTGCATTGGAGACTATAAAGTGTAAACCCAAGCCAAAAATAGATCACTTGAGAAAGGCAATCAGGCCTTTCTCAAGTGAATTTTTATAATAAAGTTAATAAATTAGATTTATAAAAATAATTCGGTGGTGTCAGAGTGGAATATACTTTAAATACATTGTGAAAATGACTATAATTTATGAGTTCACAGTTACGAATCTAAGAAGACATCTCGAGGACAGAATTAGCTTCTACCGGAAAAAATGCTAATTTAGTCCAACGACTATAGAATGCTTTGGATGAGATAGGTTTTGGACCCGGAAACATATTTGAAGACAAACATGCTGCTGTCCTCTCGTCGATTTCGAAAGTTTCTTCTGATGTGGCCAAAGTTTCTGGTGACATCGCATCATTAGAGAACAAAGTTTCCGGCGACAACACGCTTCTTTAGAAAACAAAATTTCTAACGAGATTTCTTCGCTGGAAAGCAAAGTTTCTGCTAACATCTCTAAAGTCACTTCTGAGATGTCTGCCCTCGACGATAGAATATCTTCGTTAAAAAACCAAGTTGCTGCCGATATGTTGGCATTCGAAGAAAATATGAAAGAGCTGGAAATGAAGATGGAGGAAACAGGGAGAGCAGAGAGAGGAAACAATCCAATTACAGTAGAGACAAAAGAAGACGAGACGAAATGTAAGTTAGAAATATGACCGAAATTGGAAGGAAGTGGAGGTTCTGTTCATGTTAAAGTCCCAACTTTCGACGGAAAATCGTCATGGAACAACTACATGAAAGAGTTCGAATCAGCTGCAAGAGCGAATTATTGGTCTGAAAAAGAAAAGGCTGTAAACCTGACTATCGTTCTTAGAGGAGATGCCTTAATGCCTTTTAATCCGAACCGACCATACCGCCCTTAAGTGGTTGGTGCAGTTTAAAAATCCAGAGGGTCAGATATCCAGAGGGTCAGATATCCAGATGGATCGAACGACTCCAAGAAAACGATTTCAAGATTGAGTACAGCGTTGGAGTTCAAGGAATCCAAGGAAGCAGCAGTGCTAAGAACAACGATGGTCAACGACGACTGAATGTCTAGTAAGATGAGGGAAGAACAAAGGAGAGATCCAGTTGTACAGAAAATTCGTAAATGGAAAGAGGCAAACCGTTGACCATCTTGGCAAGAAATATCGAACCTATGCTCAGTAGTTAAGACGTATTGGGCCCAGTGGGACTCATTTATCATGGAAAATAGCTTGCTCAAACGAGTACTGGAAAATGATGACGGTTCAGAGAAGAGAAGACAGTTGGTGATCGCAAAGAGCAGAATAGCCGAAGTACTTCGTCAGTGAGACGTCAGTCCATCAGGAGGGCATGTCGGTTTAAAGAAAACCGTTCAACGAGTTCGGGAACGGTTTTATTGGATCAACAGTTCCGACGAGGTAAAGAACTAGTGTAAGAAATGTACTATTTGTGCTACGAGTAACCGGCCTTACCGAAAAAGGAGAGCTCCTATGAGACAATATAATGTTGGAAGCCCGTTTAAAAGAATAGCTTTGGACATTGCCGGGCCATTTCCAGAAAGTGAGAATGGCAGTAATGGATTACTTTACTAAGTGGGTCGAGATTTACGCACTTACAGACCAGACGACCGCCACTATTGCAGATAAGTTGATCAAAGAATATACCAGCCGATGTGGAGTGCCTTTGGAGATCCATAGTGACCAAGGAAGGAACTTCGAAAATGATCTATCCAGGGAATATGTCATAGACTAGGCATGAAGAAAACAGGGACTACAGCATATCATCCGCAATTGGATGGTATGGTAGAACGGATGAATAGGACAGTTGGCAAGTATTTGACAAATATGGTGTCCCATCATCAGCGAGACTAGGACCAATATCTTCCGTTCTTCACAATGTCCTACAGATCTACTGTTAATGAATCAACAGGCCAGATACCAGCCTGAGTCCTATTCGGACGCGAGATGCGACTACCTTGTTATCTAGAGTTTGGGTGTCGACCTGGAGAAGATGTAGCAGGTGAAGATTATGTGATCAAATTAAGAAAAATAATGTACGATGTACATGAGTTAGTCCGTTCCCATCTTCAGATCGCTATCGACAGAATGAAGAAACGGTACGATACGCGAGCCGAAAAGGGGTGCTTTAAGAAGAACGACAAAGTCTGGCTCTATAATCTCAAGAAGCGAAAAGATTGTTCTCTCAAGTTGCAGCAGTTTTGGGAAGGTCCATACCTCATTATGGAGAAGATCCATACCGAATAAGCAAGATTCCGAGTGGAAAGCCGATGATAGTACACCATAACCGGCTGGCGTCTTTCGAAGGTAACCACGACGTAGATGAAGAAGTGGAAGTAAACCAAGTCCAAGATGTGTGCCCCCATGAACTCCTCACTTTTGAGGAGTTCATGGGGGCCTATGGAGGTACCGATAAAGCAAGACATGGTGAAGAAAGGCAAGATCTACTCGCGCTTCCCGATGACTACCCACTGACCCTACCATCCCAACCAGTATTACGTGAATTATTACGTTACTTATTGAAGTAAGGCTTCAATTGAGAGAGCACTTACTAGAGTCCGGAGTGCAAAAGTTAGCAATGCCAAAGTAGGAGTGCCGCCAATTAGATTGGAGGGTTATCCGAAGTATGGTGGAGATCTTTAAAGACAACGAAGTCCAGGTTTTAGTCTGTTGCAATCCGCATAAGTATTGGTGCGTAGAGAAAACCGTGGCTTGTCATTTTTATACAACTGGAAGTTGTAAAAGAGGATCCAGTTGCAGATACCACCATACCATTCCAGTTCCAGTCCCGACAAGGTTCCAGGAGGAACCATCTTTTAAGAGGGGGGCAATGTTACGATAAATATGACTCATGCCCTAAGCTGTGGGGTGTCATACTTTTCTAATAAGTATTTTTTTGAGTAGGGAATAATCGTAGTATACGGGTTCGTAAAAACCTATCTGGCTTCCATGACATTCGAGAAGGTTCAAGAAAGGTCACGGCCGATTCTAGGGAACTCCAGATAACGGTTAATAAATATATATAGAGGACTTTTATTGTAAACAGTCTAAAAAAAAATAATTGTATCGAGTCGAGTTTGAATTGTAACTCGGGGAATAAATGTAGTAAATAAATTATATAAATTAAAATAGTGTCAGTGAAAAATAAATAAGATTATATATAAATAAAGATTAAGTATTTATTTTTTTACTAACATTTTATAATAAATAAAGTTGATAAATTAGATTTATAAAAATATTTCACTATGAAAAGGAGTCAATGTATAGAAAAATATTCAATGATAAATTTAATCTTTCTTTTCATGGTCCTGCAAATGACACTTGTGTTAAGTGTGACCAGTTTAATATAAGTCTAAGAAGTATGGAAAATAAGCAACTAACTAAAGAAGAAGAAGAACAGGGAAAGCTTTTACTTGGGAGAAAAAAACATTTAGATTTAGCTGAGAGTGCTTATAGAGAGTGAATTCAAATCATCTTATCCAAATCATATAATTATAATACCAACTTTAAT